TGATCTGTCTCCACGTGACGTCAGTTTAACACAACTGATAATTAAGCAGCCCATAAATGTCGCCTCCATGTTATGGGTTTTAAAAGGTGTGTTAATATCCCTGAATGTGACCAACTGTCAGGGTGAATATATTAGTGTGTGCAACAAACATGATTAACAACATCAAAATCACCCAGTCGTTATAAGTCCACATATCAATAGCCAAGTCAAAAAAGTTCCACGAAGAGTGAGAGAGACGGAAGTGAAGACAACACTGAAGTCTTTTTGGACATAATCCCGGATGAGACGTGAAGAGCTGCTGATAAATCCCTCTGAGTTAGGCTATTATTAATCACTCGATCAAAAATGTAGTAGGCTATTTTATTCATGATGTGTGTAACTCAGTGCACCGCAGAGTATTTCATTCGTTTCTGTTTTTGTCGCTGGTTGCAAAACCACACTCGAACCACATTCTTTTTTAGGTCCAGTTTTTCGGCGATGGCTGCTATTTTCTCTGAGGAGGGTCGGGGCTGGATGGCAAAGTAAGCCTCCAAAGAGCGCTTCTCCGGCGCGGCGATGGAGGTGCGCTTTCTTTTCCTGTCGTTCCCGTTGAAAAGGTCCGGCTTGCTGCTTTTCTCCCGGTACGCAGCCTCGGCTTCTTCCAGCCAGGCCTGGAGAACCGGTTTGAGCGCTATCATGTTGTTGTGGGACAACGTGAGAGACTCGAACCTGCAGATGGTGCTCTGGCTCAAGGACCCCACTCCGGGGATCTTGAGGTTGGCCAGTGCTGACCCGACGTCTGCTTGGGTCACCCCGAGTTTGATCCTCCTCTGCTTGATCCGCTCGGCGAAGGCTTCCAGCTCCCTTGGATCCGACTCCACATCGTTGACGCACGCCATGCCGCCGTGCACTGAAAGGGAGTGAGGATGGGCCATGGTGGCCATCGCCTGGTGCAGCTGCCCCATGGTCTGCAGGTGGTGGTGAGGGTGCTGATGGTGATGCGCCGGCGTGGTCATCCCTGGGGGGTCTGGAGCACCCATCCCGGTCATGGCCAGGCTGCTGGAGAGGTGGTCCAGGAGATCCCCGGCCTCCAGGGTCTGTCCGAGGTGGTGGTGGTGGTGGTGATGGTGGGGGGCGATGGTGGAAGGGACGTGGGAGATGGGCACGGTGGTGGAGGAAGAAGAGGAGGCTGAGGTGCAGGGGACACTGCTCATGGTATGGTAAGTCACGTCTGGTTTGAACGGGTGACTCTTGCCGTGAGAGACAATGCTGTCAGCAGCCGCCAGAGCCTCTGCCCGTGCCAGCAGACTCTCATCAAAGCCTCCGAATATATTGCCCTGCAGCTGCAAGCAAGAGTGGGCATACTGGAGTCAGTGGGGAATTCTGTCAGGCAGCTCTCAGGATCTAAAAAAAACATTTTCCAATGGCAAGCAGCGCCGAGGAGAGGAGAGAACCCTCCTCGAAGCGCGGGTCATAAAAATTAATATGAAAGCAAGATTGTTCGAATAGACATGTGGGAGGGGGAGAGGGGCAACACAGACAGGGGAGAGAGTGAGAGAGAGCGAATAGAACAAAGTCCTGTCACATCAACTTTACAGACATTTCCAGTGTGATATTTTCTCCTCCTCTCACCCAGTGTACTCCACAGCCATTCTCCCCGACCTCAGTGTAGCCTACCTGCGGGGCGGGCAGACAGACTCTGCGCATGCCCTCCGAGCCTGAGTGCAGGCCGGGATACTTGGGCTCATGCAGAGCCGGGTGCATGGAGAAATGCTGCTTTCCGTTCATGGTCATCATCCTCCTCCCTGCAAGAACCTCGCAAGCAGTGTGGCCCCTGACATGAAAGCCGGGGAGCGGACAGCTACAAAACTCCTCTGCTCTCCTTCACCAAACTGAGCTATTAACATCGACAGCGACTCCCGGCAACCCTGTCTCCCTCTTTCTCCCCTCCTCCTCCTCCTCCTCCTCCTCCTCCTTTTCAGTTTCCCTCCCTCCTCCTCCGCTCCCACCTGTTCCTCTGTTTAAGTTCCAAAATGATTGCCTCTGTGCACAAACATCAAATAAACCCAACTTAAATCACTATATTTGAATTAAACAATGTTAACTGATGAACTCATTACTGTGACTTCATATGGCACCTTTAAAGCCAGGTTTATATCACTAGCCTAAGGGTTTAGCTGCTACTCTTGTGGTATAGTTGTGCAGGTTTTTTTAACAATCAGTAAAACAGGCTTGTGTGAATGAAGCCTCTGGGTTGAATTCTGTCAATTAGAGTAGTGCATACAATTGTGCTCATCTAGTATCTGTCTTATATAGTTGATACTTTTGTTTAAGATTCCAGGTTATTGACCTTTGTTACCACATTAGGGTTTGTAGCCACAGGTTGCTATTGCACTGTCCATGGTGCTGAAATAGCTGGGAACAGTAAAGCACATTAGCAATTTCAATAACTGAGCAATGGGTCTACCTAAAACCTGTTAGGATATTGACCAGTTGACCCAAAGGCCTTGGGCCCGTCTCCTCCCACATGAACACCCATCCTCAGGGCTGCTTTACAGACTTCTCATGTGGCTGCCTGAAGCCAGGGTAGACGGGCCGGGCTGGGCGGAATAAGGAGCCAAGCGGGCAGAGGTGGAGTGATGACACAGCGGGTCCATCTGATCCCCCTGGCTGCCTCTCTAGTTCCCCAGACACTGAATAATTTAGCAGCATGGTGGCAGGCATCCATTACCATGTTGGCATGTTCTTATTCATTACACAGATTAAAACAGCCAAGATCTTTTCTCACCATGCAGACCTGTTGCAGTCTGAGGAGCCAAGCTTTAAGAGCTGCATGTAGGGTGGCCACTTGCAGAGGACAGGGGAGAGAAAACACATACGGACTTAACTCAAATTTTTGCAAAAGTTTAGTTGAAGGTGTTTAGTCACAGGCCGAAAATTTTGGTGTACATGAGCAGTATAATGTGAACTATAACCATATAGCATTAAGATCTAAATGGCCACATGTGAGAGGCTGTCAGAAAGCAGTGGTTATAGATGCCACTGAATTTAATAAGATTTCATTTTGAATAAAGTATATTGTCCCTTTTGTTCTTAGCTGGAGCGATTCAGAATTTAATGGCCGTTGTTTACAACTCTGTCATTTCTGTGCTTTTCATATTCTGAAGATCTGACATGTTTTAAGAAGTGTTGTCATAACTTGTTTCTACATGTAACAGCACCTCTTCTTTTCCTCCCCCATGTAGCCTGCATACAGACACAGCTCCACTAGATGACCTAACTACTGTCACAGCATTCATTCTTTAGGCCACTGTGGTGAGTCATCTTTATTTCTCTTCCTTAACTAGTCATTAAAAATATTAGCAGGCTTTATTCATGTTTACAAAGCTTAAACTGCATCAGAAACAATGTATTGTGTCTATTCATGAAATAAAGTTTGGCTTTTAGTAGATTTGGTGAATATTAAAAATAACTACAAGTGTATTAACTTAATGCAGTGTTTAATGATAAGTGATGAGTTTACATGCTGTAAAGTAACATAAAGTGAAGCCTCACTACAGTGTAGCTACTGCTGTTGAGCACCTTGCATCCAGATGTGTGGCCACACTGGTGGTACAGTTTATTCATTCAGTTATAGACTGAATGGTGAATTGTTTAGCTTATAGGTTGTATAAAATTATTTTGTCCTGAACAAATTTCTTTAGTGTATTGAGTTATTGTTGAGTTAAAATGTCCAGTACTGGAATTTGATTTTCACCTGACAGCATTTGTTGTCTAGTGGCCCTGCAGAAACCCGAAGTGCAGGAAGTCAGAAGGAGTTTCAAAAACAAAAAAATATCTTGAGTGTCTCATATCTTGACTAAGGTATTAGATGTTTTCTTGTAATTTTGTCTTTTAAAATGTTTTATTATTCAAACTTTTTACCATAATATTTGAAAAACTATTCATTCAAAATTTTCCAAATAATTTACATTAATTTTATTTTTACAGTTATACCTAAATAAAATATTAATGATGGGACTTAACGTCCATAAAGCCCATTTCCACCCGTACACCTCAATCACCAAGTGGCCACAGTGTCTGCACAGGACGGTGCATCGTTCAGGCCTCTTCCCCCGGGAAGAGCCAAAAGTTCTAAACAGACTCTGAGTGCTTTCACTTCACTTCCTAAAGTAAGAAATGCTCATACATTATTCAGTGATATTTTAATATGTTCTAGTTGCTGGCTGGTGTAATTAAACTGAACATCAGAGGTCACAGTCTTTACTGTGATGTAATGGGATTTGTTTGAGGGCATGGGTGTCAAAGTGAGTGTCTGTAATGTAATGACTGGCTTATTCTTCCTAATAAGACGGACACACTGGATGGTACTGAATAATCTTTGGGCCTGCTAACTGGTTAGATTAGCCCTATAGGCCTAGGCTAATAGGCTATACAGTGTTTGTTACCGAGCCCCACAGAGCATTAGGCCTACAAACCTATATAATGTAGCCTTCTAAATAACCAGTACAGCTGCATTTCTGATTGAATGAGTCCATTAAAATCAACAAAACACATCAACCTAATGCTGTCCACGTTACCAGACAGACAAGCGCTAAAAAAAAAAACCCAGTGATGGTTTGAGCACAGCTTCTCACTTTGTCTAAGTGGCCGTTTTATTAGCACAGTACTCTGTTCTGCCATATCAAAACAACGGCTCAGGGGGCGTTACTTTTGTATATTAGGACACCTTGTCTCAGATTCCACTTCAATGTCAGGAAATAAATGGACCACTTTACTCATGTATTCTAAACTGTGACAACTCATTTCTTCTGTTTAATTTATTTTTAGTCTTCTTTCTTTCTAAAACTCTTCAGGTATTGGTTAGCAGAGCACTAATGTAAAACACTAAAACAGCTGCAGTTACCAGTCTTCAAAACAGCTACTTGCGTATTCAGACCAGTGAAACAAATAATATTGGTAAATAATTAATATTAAGTAGAAGCTAAATGACATGCAAAATGAAGGAGGCCACACAAGCATTTAAGGTCATATTTTCTGGAATGCTTTTGCTTGATTTTTTTTTTTCCTCTTCTTGCCAATGTTGACTTCTCTTTTTTTGGGTCAATTTTTTTCCTTTAACTCAAAATATTCTTTTTTTTCCCTCCAAGATCCAATTCAAATTCTTTTTTTTGTTCTTTTGTCATGTTACAAGCACCTCATTCCTCCAGCTTTATTGGCAAAAGCAAACATGCTAGTAAGTTAGAAATCCATTTTTTACAAACAAAATACATAAAGAAAATACATCCACATCCTGAAAATATAAACAGTAACAAATCCAAAACTATTATCCAATAAACATTTTACATTTTTACACTATTGGGTGATAGTAGCGTACACAATATAGTACAAAAAGTGGGAGACCTTCTCTGAATCCTCATTTTCACTTGTCCTTTATCTCTGCCAGTGACCTCAGTAAAAACAAAAAAAATCAGCATGAGCAAATCATGTTAGAGACGCTTCAGCTTTCCATCGCACACCTGAACTTCATTTTAACTGACAGATGGCGGAGACAAAAAACAAAGGCTTTAATGAGACAATGAGGTCACTGACAGTCTACAGTGATATACCATCCAAACAAGCGCACTACTGACATCATAGGTAGGAGGAAATTCTTTGTTACCGACTGTATTCACATGCTGGCAGAGGTCTGCAGGTCAATGTGCATGCAGACGTCTCCCCGCATGAGTGTGTCGTCGGTATGTCAGGCTGTTATACTTAATTAACCAATAAGTTAATTATCTCTCCATTGTATTGGAGCTTAAATCTGGCTGGTTATATTACTAAATATAATCAGTTTTGTTGAATACAGCACACAACATTTCATTATGCTGCATGTAAACTGTTATTTAAGGGAACCAACAAAATGTCTTAAATGTAAAGATGGTGTTATCTTACATCAAGCACATTTCCATATAAATGTCAATGCACCTTATTCCTCCCACCCTGAGAATTCTAAAATACAGTATAATTAAAGAAATCAAAACCAACTAAAACATTCTGCCATGAAAAATACACACTGTGTTTGCACTTGTAGACTGAGCTGTCTGACAGCATCCAGAGGGGTTTCTACAGCTCAGAGCAGCTCTCAGTGTTTCTTTATAAGAAATGTGCTACTTAGACGACAAATTTAGTGAAATAACAGAGTGGACTGGTTTAACAGAGTGGACTGGTTAGGGTGAACAACTCTTGGTTAGAAAAGCAGACACTGTAGACTCTTCCTAGACCTTTTCTACCTGACGCAACCTTGTCATTCATTTAAAATGACAGAAAAAACAAAACTCAGAAAACAAACTGTTTCTCTTTCAAGCATTTACAAAATTTACAAAATTAAATCACAAATCTTGTAAAAATTCAGCCATCTGCTGATTGTGTAAGGCAAAGAAATTATATATATTAAAATCAACTGTTCAGTATTACATTCAACCACGCGCCTATGGATCTCATTTTCAAAATGGGTGATCTGATCGTTGTTCTGTCAGGCCCTTTGGATGACCAGGAGAGTAAAACAAGTTTAAAAAAAAGTTACACACTCTTAGAAAACGTAGAACACCGCTGCAGGTGTTTCTATTTACACAGAGTGGCACTGGACATCGAGCGAGCAATAAAATAAAAGTGGGGGAAATGTATTTACTACAAGAGTGTATCTGATGTGTGTGACCATGGATTTTGTAAACACTGGGTTTTTCTATTGCACTGGTATCCTTCTGTACCTGCACTGGCTCCAACATAGTGGTGGCACAGCATCAGCACTTCCAGGCACTGCTTGGGGGGTAGCTCTGTTTATTTAAGAATACAACATGCAGATACTAGCATGTATTCATGCCAGCACACACAGCCACTGTCGAGAATATATGAACTGAACATTTTGGGCTTACGCATAACAAAAGCTGAATGAAGTTAAATGGAAAACCATACCATACTGTGCCATAAATAACTATTGCTCTGGCCGTAACAGAGAACGTTCTCTATCGGTGGTGGAATGGTTGCCCCTGAACACAGGACGAGATTTTTCAAAAACTGGTGAGAAAAGAGTTTAAATACAGTATGTATAAAAATACCTATTCACAGTTGACACAACCTTTGTGCATTACTGATATTAATCATTTGGTAAGCACACTGAAACTTACATATGTTTTTCTATCTATAAGAACAACTTAATATTTATCTCTCTCAGCAAAAGTGAGATATTTTAAGTAATGGTTTAGTCGAGGGATACAAACACTGTTGTCCCTCTAGACTTCTTTTGATGAACAATAAAGTAAAGATGCTTTTACTTTGATTAGAGTCTAAAACTACTATGAAAATACTGGAAAGGAAAAAAATGTGAGTTCTGCTGCATTGATTTTATCTGTACGTCAGGGAAAATAACCACTGATTTAGCTGGGAAGCAGGTTATGACGGATCACAATGCCTTCATCGTCTCCAAGATCGGCTCTCGTACTTGTCGTCTTCATCATCATCCTCTTCCTCCTCCTCTTCCTCCTCCTCCCCAGGCAAATAAGAGCTAGCGTCCTTCTGTTTGAATGAAAAGAACACAAGTCTACTGTTTAGCATTATTATTTAGTAACTTAGCGTTATGATTTTCTAAAACTGGTGAGTTTATGCTAGAGGGGGATTCAGGCGGATAATAAACAAATGACGCGCCTCACACTTCACAAGACAGGATGATTGTAAAATAATGGGACTGGATTGAAATGAACCGAGTGGCTCTGAGTGGATCAGCAGTCAGAGCCACTCAGACAAATCTAAGAATTTCCAGCCTTGCATTAAGACAAATTTTCTCACCAATTGTAAACTTCCAAAAATAAAATTTATTTTTAAGTACCTGCATACAAGGAAGACAGCAACCTCAAACATGACAATACATTATGAGGATTTCACCTGTCAATAATGCTGCTTCACTTAAATGGCTAAGATGCTCTTAGTAGGGGGCAGCTGTGGCTCAGGAGGTAGAGCGGGTCGTTTCCTAACCGGAGGATTAGCGGTTCGATTCCCGGCTTGTCCAGTCAACATGTCGAGGTGTCCTTGAGCAAGACATTGAACCCCCAGTTGCTCCCGGTGATGTCACCGGTGTGTGAATGCGTGAGTGCTTGGGAGTGCGAATGGGTGAATGGCCGAATAATGTGAAAGCGCTTTGAGTGTGCTGTAAAAAGCATAGAAAGGTGCTATACAAGTATAAGACCATTTACCAAGACCATTTACTGAGAGGCTTGCCCTGATTTTCCATTGGTGTACCGGAGAGAAATGTACAAGTAAAATCTGTGAATACAAGTAAAACTTCCAAATGTTTCCCCACTCTGAATTTTAAGTTCTTCTTCTTCTTCTTGTCCTGGTTTCTAGATGTTTATATGTTGGCAAGTTGGGGCATCAAATTAAGTGCTTGGGTTTAGGAGGGATGTGTCATACCGTGCCGTCTTCATCTTTAGCCTCTTCCTCCTCTGGTTCTGTTGTAACAGAGGGCGTCTTGGGCTTGTACCAGGAAATCTGCAGCACACGACCTTTGAACTTGGCTCCCTGGTTAGCTGCCTAGAAGACAAAACAGGTGGGGAATTGCAAGTTAGACTCGCAGCTCTGACTAATCTGTACCAGTAAAACCAAACGACTTTATTTTATCATTTCATTAACTAGTAGGGAATAGAGGGAGGAAAGGAAAAACAAATAGTGTAGTTAAGAAGATGGTCTGATTTGGGGTCATGCAGCTTACATTCTCTGCTTCACTTCGTGTTTTAAAGGTCATGATGACACTGTTGGCATCTTGGTCACGGAGGTCCTCAATCTCACCAAATCTCTAAGATAAAAGAGATTTGAGATGTATTTCAGTGTAACTGTACAACAATCATATCAAGTGTAACACCTGAAATACAAATGTGTTAGAAGTGTTGCACAATCCTCACCACAAAGTGAGGCATTAGCTCTTCCTTCTCCTCCTGAGTGACTCCTACAATAACCAGGGCTTTGGGTCTGTGGTCAACCACCATACGGTTCACGGCCCCGCCACGAGCCATCGCGTCACGACTTCGGCCCCTGCCGCGGCCCACGCTCATCGAACCGGGCTCCGAGGTCATCTTCCCTCGGCCCCGACCTCGACCCGCTGGGGGCCGGATCAGACCCAAACGTGTTGCCTAAAGGACAACAGATTGGGAGTTTTAATGTTTGAGTAACCACCTTGCTGTGTTAAAAAAAAAAATCATTAAAACAGATGTGGAACTGTGTGACCTGATGCAGCACAACTGTGAAAACAAACACGCCAGGAAATAACAGTATTTAAATCCAGCATTAAAAAAAGTCTTAAAATACTGCACACTTTCCTTTTTCAGAGCTGAAATATTTCCTACTCTCTGGTAGCTCTTTGCCCTGTACCAGTAGTCGTCACTCCTCAATTTTTAAAGGGACATTTCCCTTCCTAACCACTCCACAACCTCATAACCACTCTCTTCCACTTGTCCCTCCATGACTTCTCCCTCTAATTGTCATCTGTCGATTTTCCTACAAGGGCCAACGACTCAAACTTTAATGTGTCTGATTTGGCTGTTCCTCTGGGCTTGCATAAGTGGCTGCAGTTTAATGTGCAGGAGGGTTGGGCTTGGACAGATGGAGGTGATATGTATTTTTAATAACTAGCCCATTTTGGACCCACAGGGGGTAAAGGGGAAATAACATGCTACACAGGATGCTAACAAATGCTGTGTTCTTTTTAGGCTGATCTTATGAGAAAACGACCTGTCTGTACTGGTTTAGAGGGGAGAGGAGACACAGGGCAAGTCTGAGCTGACTAGGAGACTTAGATGCAGCGTAGGGCTGCACAAATTCTTCACTATCATGAGAAAAAAAAAAAAAAGTCATTAAATTTTCTGATTTCCTGGTGTCACAACATCAAATTCAAACTCAAGATAAATGCTGATGATGCATGCGTGTGGTGGTGCTAGCTATCTTTTCAGATGTTTGGCCTGTGGTTGTGTTTTACCTCCACCTGTAGCTGCCCCAGTTTTCTCTTGAGGTCTGTTGTGTCCTCTCCAGAGCCCATTCTCTTGTGAATCTCCAGCTCTGCATCCAGCAGTTCCTTCTGGGCCTGGTCATATATCGTGGAAAATGAGAAATCACAAAAGAAGCGATTAAAAACTGACAGTAGCAGCAAAGTCTGCAAAACAAGGCCCAGAGCACCAGTTTGGTTTTTTCACAAGGCTGAAAACAAACATAATGAGATGCTGCACGTGGTCACGTTCCAGACTCACATCAGTTTTGGTCTTGGACTGGCTGTGGTTTGGTTTAGTGCTGGAGAGTTGGGAGGCAGGGTTCATTTCATTCTGCAGCTGGGCGATCTTATCCGTCAGCTCCTTCAGAGTCTTCATGATGTTTGCTCTGTCTTCAGGTTTCATGCCTCGGTTCTTCTCCAGGCGGTTTATCAAGGCCTGGAGGAGGAAGGAGAGAAAAGCTTGGCATGGACAGAGCAAAGGGGAAAAAAAAAGAACTGAAAAATGGTGTTAAGGCCAGTCTTACCTTCTGACACTCAATCTGTGTCTTCAACATTTCTTGCTTCTTCTTTCTCATGTCCTGCTGGAGTTTTAATGCCTCCTACAAGCAAAAAGAAAAGTAAAATCAACTACATTCACCTATCTTCTTTCTCAGGGGCAGCCTGCTTCTCATTGGCTGCCCCTGAGAAAAACAAATGACTAATCCTAGAACTGCTATTTTCATAGCAGTCAAAATATGTATTCAAAAAATTAAGCAACATGCCTGTTTCTTCTTGAGGACATCCTGTGCTTCTAGTGCTTTCCCTGTCTTCCCAAGACTCTTTGAGGATGACTTGAGGGCTGTGGAAGTGTAGGGACCCTTCTGGGTGTTTGTCAGTGCAGGCGCCACCTAAGTGCCACACAGACAGAGTGGGACATATTTAGGCCATCAGAATGAGACTGCAGACAGTTACTTCAAACTACTATATAGCAAAAGAAACGACCAAAAATACTTTAGTCTACTTAACAAAAAACTTTTACTTGACAGGTTTGACATCACCCGACACACATGCACACCCACACGCACACGCACAAAGACTGAAACGTACAGTGACGGTGTCTGTGTTAGGATTCAAGTTGTCTGGCTTGGTTGCAGCTGTGGTCCCAGCTACTGCGGCGAGGTGATGTTTGGGTACAGTCTTGTTAAACACATAGGCGGCTGGATTGTGCTGCTTGATGCCCTGAAAACAAAACAAAGGAAAGTAAATCTGATGAAGGGTTTCTGAGACATGGTAAAACGTAGATATACGAATCACCATAAAAAAGATGAAGGGATTCCATATAGTATGTCTCAGCTCTCTATACTTGCCTTATGCATATTACTGTGCTGCGGCCCCTGGCTCGGCATCACTCCAGCCACCTGACTTCCTGAGATCTGCTCCTGCTG